CACACACACACACACACACACACACACACACACAATGACCCCACACTTAAAGCGACCAGACCTGACCCACCCCATCACTACGATGCATGCGAAAAGTTACAGATTACAATCTCACAATTCCCCCCTACCCCAATTCGAATCCGAACCCCCCCTCCCACAAAATCTCTCTACTAACGAGTCGTTGAACAGCCGCCTGTGGTGTAGTGGTTAGGCGCTTCACTGTCGCACGCAGGGGATCCGAGTTTGATGCCCAAGTAAGGAGAAAAATATGTGAGGCATCGTGGTTAAGTGGCTTGTCAAAATAATGAAACTAGAAAAACGAAATTAGCCGATGTGCAATTTGTTTCTCTTTATTATTTTTTCCCCTTTGGACTCAACACTTCTTTTTTATTATTTTTTTAGTAAGGTTTTATGGCGTTCGCAACTGTGTAAGGTCATGGGAGCGCCGAGGGGTGGATGTCAACAGAGAAGTCCAAACGGGGAATCGGGCTTCCTCTGCTCTCCTCTCTAGCCTCACCAGCACAAAGTCTGCTTCGACTATCAAGGCACCCCGGAAATAGCAGTTCACAAAAGACTGACAAAAGAAGTAGAGGAAAATAACAACAGTAAGGATGAGGAAAGAAAATGCAGCAGTTCCCTCTAAGTTGTACCAGCACAGTATGAGCATGGCATTGATAAATCGTCCCATTCACAATTCTACTGTGCATAAGAACATGCTAATAGCCCCCCCCCCCCCCTTCCTCCTCCTTCCCTCTTTAGGAATGGCCTAAAGACAACTTCATTTTGTAACACTGCCCTGGAAGGGGGGGGGGGGACTTTTTATGTCCTTTTAAAAACACATTTTTATGAGGATTTTTACTAAAATGAACATTGATAAAAGACACCCCCGCACATCACCTTCCAATTCGCCACAGTACTCCCCCCCCCTGCCCCACCCCCGCTATCTCGCCACATCTTCCTATCTCCCACATCTTCCTATCTCCCACATCTTCCTATCTCCCACAATCACCCAAAGAGTTTGCCCATTTCCATATTCATCTAATAACCCGCACAGGCCGTGTCCGCCTCCATTCACCAGACATTATTGTCCTGTGCTGACATTTTGGCGGGAGTCACTGAGTGGAGAAAGAAACTCACTGGAGGCAACCCTGCCCTGCTCCTTTCCTGTTTGCCAAGTCCCCCCCCCCCCCCCCCAATTCCTTCTCCTTGTTTTTTTTTAAATATTTATTTACTTTTAATAAGTATTTCACGGCGCTTGCAACTGCATAAGGTCATATAAGTGCGTGGGACACGAGAAACATTTCCAGATGGTAGGAAAATTTGAATTTCGCCAATGTGGCGGCTGAGGCCTACTCTTATCGATTTTGGACCACCAAAGGATCTTTAATGTGCACAACTTGCACATCTGACCTCCGAGATTTTTAGCCATTGAACAAGAAGGCTTGGTGTAGATCTTTCCGACCAGAAGATCAAGGGTGTGGCTGAAAAACAATAGTAAGAAGGAGCTAAAGAGTTGCAGTAGAAAGGCTGCGGAAAGAGTCAGGGGCCCAGAGGAGGGGGTAACGGAAGTAAGGGGGTGGGGGCAGAAAGTGGAGACGAAAGCAGACGACAGAATATTGCTAGAGAGCTGCAAAGGAGGTGAAATGAGACAATTTTTAGAGAAGAAAGATTTCTGTTGCTATCCGGATTCGAATCCGGGACCTATTGAATGAGAGGCGAACTGTGCACAAAATTTACAGCAGTTCTGGAAGATCACAGGATAAGAAATAACTTTCTTTCCCAAAGTGTTTCATCTAATTTGGCAGATACACAAAGTCAAATATTATTGTTATTTTATATGTTATACAATCATGTAGAGTATACATAATATTATATTATACTTGACTTCTACTGTGTTGAACTTGATCCAGCTGATCTTCAGTTAAGGTTATCTCTTGCTCCGGCCCCAGCAATTCTTCTACTTTACAGATCCCAACAGTTCAGTTGACCTTCAGATGAGTCAGCTGAGCTTTTTTTCCCACTTCCCCATGGACATCAACTCATCCCTGGTACAGTGAAAATTGTCTAACATTGCCGGCCATTCATTGTCCAGGAGAAAAGTGGCCGTCTTAGACAGGCACAATATTATGTCTTACTCAGTGTCGTCATTTAAAAAATGTGTTTAAAGGCAAAGAGGGAAATAGGAAGTGGTCGCTTGTACAGGTGATTGTCTTCTCACAAGTGGTCGCTTGTACAGGTGATTGTCTTCTCACAAGTGGTCGCTTGTACAGGTGATTGTCTTCTCACAAGTGGTCGCTTGTACAGGTGATTGTCTTCTCACAAGTGGTCGCTTGTACAGGTGATTGTCTTCTCACAAGTGGTCGCTTGTACAGGTGATTGTCTTCTCACAATTGGTCGCTTGTACAGGTGATTGTCTTCTCACAAGTGGTCGCTTGTACAGGTGATTGTCTTCTCACAAGTGGTCGCTTGTACAGGTGATTGTCTTCTCACAAGTGGTCATAGGAGAAGGTTCAATAAATTGTACTCGTACATAGATCTATATTTATTCATTCCATGGTTACCTTTCATTTAAAAAAAGAGACAAAAAGGAAATAAAACAACATGAATAAATGAAACACAAACTGCAGTTGTTTGGAAAGAGAAGTGTATTGACATCCAAAACTGAATTAATTACAGACATTCATTCATCACAGAAAGACTGACACTAACAGGGGAACAAATGAGGCCCACAATCAAGGCCTGTCATCAAGGCCCCTGAGCCAAGGCCTGCTCCCAACAAGCAAGCACAAACAACTAGCAATATATTAATATAATGAAAGAACAGTCACAAAGGGAAGAAGCTGTAAATTAAGAACCTTGTTTTATACAAGTAGCAACCAAAGATGTATCTTATCTTAACTTAACAATAGTAACTATGTCTCATTATCTTGTCTTGGCCAGAGACGATTTTCTCAACGGAATCCTTAAGAGGAGAGAAGGGGAGGGGAGAGAGGGGGGATATAAATATCTTGCTCTCCCTCCTACAGTTTGCCCAACTCCCTGGCCAGTGTGGGTGCTACTTACTTGTCACAAACTGTCTAATATAGACTTCTGGTCTACTCTAGTGGCGATATATGTATCATCAGAGTTTGGAACCAGGGGTGGTGGGTGAGTGGGTGGGGAGGGGTTGGGGAGGGGTTGGGAAGGGAATGGGGAGAGGGATCAGGGGGTGGGGGAACCAGAGATTGGAGAGTGGGGAGTGGGGTGGCGGTCTGCTCCTGTCGGGTCTGGTCTGTTGCGACAAAAAAGACCATGAATGATAGTCTTCAGAGGGTGATACCTGCCTTCGACAAACCTCTGAGTGTGTCTTGTAGAGCTGTAATCTCATTCTCAAACACCAACAGCAATCTTTGACAATCACATCAACATACAGGAGTAAAATTTCTCCTATTCCTAGGCGTTCATATTTAGGAAAGTTTTTTCGATTGAATGCACACGACCAATTCTTTCGGAATAATGCTCCCATGTAATCTGTGTGTACAGAAAAGTTGGTCTGATAGGCCTTCAAATATGATTTCTACAAAACAAGATTTTAAAGGAGTGTTTACACTGGAGCATTTTGCCTCTTTGATAATCCAGACTGGCTTACATTTCCTGTGGAACCTCAGTGTGACATTAGGCCGAAAGGAGGAGAAAAAGTTCTCCATCTAAGGACGAGCATGTCAGTTTTGTCTTTGCTTTCTTGTACAACCAACTCCCACCCCCCACCCCGGACACTTTCGAATGAAATCATGACGTACGTACGAAAATAATATTCTCTGAATGAAATCAGTTTCCGAGCTTTACCTCTATTTTAAACAAAATTGTTTTCGAAATCTGTCGCTAGCTGTCTAGTATCCCTACTGCAGTCGAAAAGTAGCACAAGGGAAATAATTCACTAAATACAAACAAGAGTTAAATATTTGCAATTATTATTTCCCCTTGCCGTACAGAGTTATCTGACGCTAGCAACGCTAGTAGTATTGTTTTTACTTTCAAGTGACACGCATAGATATCTGTGTCATAATTTTACATACAATGTGTCAATTTTTGTGAAAATTCTGTCGTCTCGGGAAGAGAATCTAATGGAGTCCAAATTTTTTGTCACAATCATCTAACATTCTACAACAAGAGACTGAGAGGCAGCTTTGAACTTAAACCTTCCAAAACTGGGCCCAATCTACTACCTCAACCACGTCATCAGCACAGAGGTAGATACGAGTCATGATCATTATTGTGTTAATTGCGCCGTAAAACACCTAGCATAGCATATCAGATTATAATATGAGTTCAAGAAAAGCACATCAAAACACTGGAGAGCATTCAGTTGACATTGAAACAGCGCGTCTGGAGGCAGGGAGAGAGAGAGAGAGAAAATAAACCTAGGCTTAAACAATCTATCAACCTGATAGTCATTTATAGAATGTCAATGTTCCACATTATTATATGTACAGGTCTATAGGCTCCTTTTGTAGTGAGAGAGAGAAAGAGAGAGAGAGAAAGAGAGAGAAAAAGAGAGAGAGAGAGAGTCAGATAGAGGGAGAAGGAGAGAGAGAGAGGATAAAAGAGAGTAAGAGAATAGAACCAGAACCACAGATTGGGAAGACATAACAGCAAAGATAAAAACTTGGATGGATGCGTAGGAAGGTACTTGATGTATTCAGAGAAAGCCCTAACGACATTCACAAAAAGCCAGGTCTATGAAATAATTCCACCGACAGTGGACAGTGAAAGCGAGTTCAAAAGTGTAAAAACGAACCAAAACATGAGATGTCAGGCTAAAGGCTCTAGATGGGGTGTTGTCCATCAAAACTTGATAACAGAAGGCACTAAAACACACAGGGAGTTCCCTGAACAACGCGCGCGACTGTCGGTGTGCACACCTCGTGTGTGTGACTGTCGGTGTGCACACCTCGTGTATATGTGACTGATCGAGTGCACACCTCATGTGTGTGACTGTCAGTGTGCACACCTCGTGTGTGTGACTGTCGGTGTGCACACCTCGTGTGTGTGACTGTCAGTGTGCACACCTCGTGTATATGTGACTGTCGGTGTGCACACCTCGTGTATATGTGACTGTCAGTGTGCACACCTCGTATATATGTGACTGTTAGTGAACACGCAGAGAGAGAGAGCACGATATGGTCTGAGGCAGGGTCTATCACCAATGATAGTAAATAACAAGATGGGCCACTCAGCCAAAAAAGTGTCCGCAGGAAGTATGCTCTTTGCTTCAGATGGCGCTGCAGTCTGTTTTGAAGCTCTCTTTCGTTTTTCCAGAAGAAGAATAGGAATAGCACCTCCTTGCGTGCGCAGATCGACTGCTGTTCATCAGCAGTTCCTGTACATTCAGTGCGGAGTTTTAGGGTTTTTTAAAAAATTTTAATGACCTCTCGCCTTTCATTCTAAAGTCAAATTAAACGAAGAAAACCATCACCCTTTCCTCCGGAAGAGGTTTTTTGTCAGCGTAACCATTTTAAAAACGCGTTCTTCCAAAATTTATCCCAAAACTTGCTAGTTTCACTTTGATTTTTAAAAACTCAAGTAGGGTAACTCTGTTCGCAAAGAGTGCGCTTTTGTGAAGAGGGCGCCACCAAATTTTGAGGACACTTTTTTAATTGGCTCAAAGAGAGAAGTGGCCCATCTTGTTATGTACTATCATTGCTATCACCAAGGCTGAGGTGAAAAAAAGTGGTGTCGATTCTTTTTTTCTTTTCTTTTGAAGGAAATGTCGTGGAAAAAGCAATATAGTACTCATCTCCCATACAACAATGAGACAGTTTTTCCACAATATAAAAAATTGAAATGAGTCAGAAGAATTCTTCCCCACGCGCACCAATGTGGCAAATAATGAGGAGACTCGAAATGTTCAAATAATAAAACACTCGTAGTTATAATATGTATATGGAGAAGTTGCTGAGATCAAAATGTACAACGTCTTTGTTTTGTTGTTTCCGCATTTGCACATCAGCAGTAGAATCTTATGAACCCTGCACGTTTCCTGAACGTTGTATATAAGAAAAGGGGGTTGTAAAAGTACACAGCCATCAGGAAGAGAAATTGTCACCAAAAAAAAGAAACCAACCCCAGATCAAAGTATCAAACTGCCAAACTGACAAGAACATGTCATCGTTGTTTGTGTAGACATTGTCTGTCTTCTCCGACATAAAGAAGAAGCATACTCTAATAGGAAACCATCCCTCTCTCTCCAAGGAGAAAACATCGCACTCTAGAGATTTCTACACAAAACATTAAAGATCCAAAGAACAGACAACGATATAGATCTAGCTGTAGCGCTTACAAGTGGAAAGCAGTACATTATGAGAGCAATATGGCTCAATGAATACAGCAAGTTATAAATAGGAACTCGATACTTTCCTTTCAACTTCCAGCAACATTGTGATGAGAAAAGCAAACATTTTATAGAGTTTTCCACTTAACAATAGGTTTTTTTTCTTTCTTCAGAACAAAAGTCCATGAAAAACTAGATAATCATCAAAGACAAAGTGATCTTAAAGCTGTTAAGTCTGCAAGGAACAGTTGCCTTGGTGTTGACTACTCCTTTAGTGAACCCCAAAAGACTGGCAAATCACAGTGTGGAAAAAGATTGCACATTGTGGGGAAATGTTTCATACCAATCTCGCTGTGCACCAAACACTGAAACATCAGCGTCGGCCTGTACCTTCGTGCACAACATTCGTCTATCTCTACCCTGACACAGAATAGACACTGCAGACACCGGTACCCTGACACAAATAAGACAATCGGTTTATCCCATATCTCTCCCCCCCCCTCCCCCAACCCCTGAAAAGCAAGAAACAAACGTCAGTGGTCCGACACACAAGAGACAGTTCATCAGAAATCAACCACAATATCCTTCTGAAAGACACAAGACACATTAAGACTGGGCACAGCTCAGAGACCTTCAACCTATCCATATACTCTTGGTCTAACCAGAGACAAACCTTGCCTTTCATTTTTAAGAAAGATTCCCTTTGAAAAATGTTTTCCCCTGCAGAGAAAATGAAGATATACAAATATTATCAAAATTTTCTTGACAGTCAACGTCTGGAGAAATGAAAGAATCTCATGTAAAGCAGGCTTATTATGCATCAAGTCAAAAGTCTCAACAATGAAATGAAGAAAGGGACATATGGAATACAGGTTTGAAAAATACAGGTGTGGAAAATACAGGTGAACTACCACTCAGGCATGGAACGCCTAAAACCTTCGATACACACGGCCCTTCAGTTCTACAGCTAAATGGCACGTCATCAAAATGTGATATAGCGGACTGGCTTCTACTGCCACCTGGTGTGTGATGTGGATGGATGGATGGTTTCAGGATCGCGGCATCACCAGGCACAGTGGACACACCCCCCACATTTGACCTTGAAGGGTACATGGACATTTGCTACATACTGTCATGGGAACTAAGTAATGTTTTTCTACTCTTTTATCCCAAACAAAGAATATGTCAGTTGTTTTTTTTACTGAACATGATACGTTTAACCATATTATGCAATGCTTACAAGAAAATCTATAAAATTGTGCATGATCTTTACAGATATGTGATTGAATACACAACCTACGCTAAGACTTTGAAGCGATACACCCACAGCCACAGTTAATGTTTTCCTAAGGATATGGTAGCGGCTACAACATTGCCAACAGACTTTTGTGACTTACTTCTCTAACAGCTTTGGGATACATTCAAGCGAAAGAGCAAAGAAAAGGACGGGTGCGTATTGTATTAAGTTCAAATGACAAAGACCTGACAAATTGCTCCTGAATTCCATTAAACTACTGTCACACGAAATGTTGCATAATCACACCTATTTCTTCATTCTCTAATCCAAAATTCATGATGCTGAACAATGAAACGAATGTGTGGAAGGAAAATAAAGCTAGATCGACATGAAATGCAAGAACTAGGGGAAGAAGAGAGGCCTCAGTTTTCTTGGTGCACATCGTCCTGGGTGGCCCGTCCCTCCCCCGAGCTATTGCACTGAGCGCCGCCCATTTCCCCTATACACTTCTCCACCACAGTCTCCGAGCGCGGCAGGCCGGACAAGTTATCCGAGGACACGTCCCGAGACGGAGTCCTGTCATCCTGGGCCGCACCGCCAAGCGGCAGTGACACCGTCGTGTCGCAGGCAATGTCATGACAGCTGAAGTCCTCCGACACTGATGTCAGGCGAGAGTTGCTGACACTGGGGGCACCATCGGTCGTGTTCTCCAATGACAGGCTACAGCTCCCCAGCGACCCACTTTCCTGATCTTCGAAAACGTTGTCCGCACTCGGCTCTCCCGTACTGCCGGGTATCGAAACCTGGAACTGATACGTGTGTCGCGCGCTCCCCTCCGTGTCGCTGTCTCCGCGACTGCGGCTGTAGGAGCGGACGTTGTGGACCACAGTTCTGTCCTGCTCGGAGCAGCCGTCGGGTGAACCGTCAAAATCCTCGTTGGTGCTGTCCAGCATTTGGGACACGTTGGCCGAGGCCACCCACTCCGAGTCGGTGCTGACGATGGAAGAGTTAAGCATCTCCGAGCGCGTCATGCTGTCGTACACGCCTGAGTCGCTCACGCCCGAGATGGACCTTGCGTAGGAGTTGATCATCTCACCAGAAGATGCCAGGTTCGAGTCCATCGTGTTACCCAAGGATGGCATGTCGCTCTCCTCACAGACGTCCCCATCCCCAAGATGACCGGACGTGTACTGCGACAAAATCTCCGGCCCCGCAGAGACACACATCCTGGCTCTCTCATTGGCTGCGTCCAAATTGTCACTGCTGTTCTCTGAGGCGTCTTCTTCTCCCTGCGAAATTCTCTTCCATCTCTTCTGCTTGACCTGTGGGCTGGAAGAAGGCGACCTTGACTCCACCAGTTTCTCGTCTTTCTCCACCACGAAAGTGGCCGACCTTGACCGGAGCTTGCGGTCAGTCTCGCACAAACTCTTGCTGCTCCTCTTCTTCACCCTCATGACAACATCTCCGTTGGGGCCATGGTAGTTAGGGGAGAGGGTTCGATGCCGAGGGTCCGGCGATGTGGTCTCGCTGCGGGCTGGGGAGCGACTCACTTGGCGTTTGCTCAAGCTCTCGCTGGATCCGAACTCGGAACTCTGCGACATTCTCCACATGACCTGCTCGTAATCCATGGAGAGGCGTTTGTTAGCTCGAGACTCCTTGTCGTATTTCCTCATGAGGATCTGGCACTTCTCGTGGAGTTGTCTGAGGGAACAAGAACAGTGCAGTGAATAACACGCGAGTTGTAAACAACGTAGAGAATAACACGCTTGTTGTAAACAACGTAGAGAATAACACGCTTGTTGTAAACAAGACACAGAATAACATATGTGTTGTAGACGACGCAGGGAATATTTATGAGTTGTAAACAACGCAGCAGTGAATATCACGCGTGTTGTAAACAACACAGAGAATAATACATGTGTCGGAGACAGGAACAACTGACAGAATGACACACACATTGTAAACAACAACACACAGAACAATGTGCATGTTGTAAACAAACAATTCAACGACACACAGAAAAAAATGGTAAAATGGTATAGGTTTCGTAGGAGACCAGTACCCGAGACTGGGGACAAGGAGTAAGGATACAGTAGCAGGCACTTCACCTGCCACCTGTCCAAGACAATTGCCTGTACAACTGGCCACTTCCAACTTCTCCTAACAAACGGTAGCCGTCTTGGATAATAAAAATAGGTAAAAGGAGAAACAGTGACTGGATCATTCAGAAGGAATTGCAATACTGGCACAACTGTCAGAAAACAGAAAAATTTGTCAGCAGCATCTACAGTGTAGCAGTTAGGGTTAGGCATATAACTGTTGCAAGCAGGAGACCCGAGTCTGATTCTTGAGAGGAGAGAATTTTTATTGAGTATTTTTGTCTATCTGCTCTGATGTTGTAATGTATACTTTTAAGCATGGATTGGTTGGCCCTGACAGGGAGGATCCAAAGCCCGCCTCCTAAATAATCTAAACTCAGTCAATGGAAGCGTAAAAACACCTATAATTAACCCTTTTATAGCCATACTGTCATGTTGTCATACCGGCTTTTCCCGACTATCCCGCTGTAAAGCCGAACTGGCTTTTACCAGCCTGACACATCCATCTTCAGTGCAGGCTCAGATATAGGAACATTCCACTCTCAATTTAGATGCTGGCGTCCTTGGTATTTGTTGGTGAAATTTCATTGAAATATCTCGCTTGGATCAAAAGTAAAAGTAATTTCTTTGCTGCACCCCCTGAACCTCTGAAAAACACGGAAATAATTCGGTTCTGGGAAGTGGGAAGCCATCAGCTGGCCACTATTTTGGTTCGGCTGGGCTGACCTTCAGACCTATTTATGGCGCTCATATGACCTTATGCAGTTGCGAGCGCCGTAAAAGCTCTACTAAAACTAAAAAGACCTATTTATGGTGCTAAAAAGGATTTAAAAAACCCATAAGAGCTGAGCGTCGACACGCTAAACTTACTTCTCGTGATCGGTCTTGATATTGATGATGGCCTCCAAGTTCTCCACCTTCTGCTGCAGCGAGATGATCTTGTCACGGGCGATCGGGATCTCCTCCAGCTGCAGAGAATCACACAAAAACACACACGGGTCAGCCACGCAAGCACGTCACACACAGATCAGCTACACAAAAACGTCACGCATAGATCAGCAACAATATTCCTAATGACTGCCATGAAAACATCTCTTCAGAAGTACAGAACAAAATAAGAAATACATGTAACTTATCAAAATTCTGTGCTTGTGAAATTATTCAGGTGCGTTAATGAATTTCTCGGGGGGTGGGTTTCTCATCTCTGAATTAAATAACCACTTCGCTACTTTAGAATTACAGAGCGAAATGCTTGCAGCTAAAGGGACTTGAAAACAACAACAACAACAACAACAACAACAACAACAACAACAACAACAACAACCTTAGAATTACAAAATTCTATGTAACATTTTTTGGCCGTCTGTTGTTAGTTACTATGCATGACCATGAGGTCAAAAACCAAATTTCTGTCTGCTCTATCAAAATCGTAAGATTATTCAGAGTCATTATCAAGATATTCAAAGCACAGCATTTGAAAAAGCTTGACTTGTCGTGAAATTTCTCAAAACAAAGTTCTGAGCATAATACATGGATAGAACTTTGTGGTTCTATGGTAGGGACTGGACAAGGTCAGAAGTTTCAAACACTTACAGACACAGACAGAATTGTGAGACACACTGTTGTGTCAGACAGAGACAGAATTGTGAGACACACTGTAGTGTCATGTATCAGACACAGACAGAATTGTGAGACACGTGGTTGTATCATGTGTCAGGCAGACAGACAGAATTGTGAGACATACTGTTGTATCATGTGTCAGGCACAGACAGAATTGTGAGACACACTGTTGTATCAGACACAGACAGAATTAGGAGACACACTGTTGTGTCAGGAGACAAACTGTTGTGTCAGGCACAGACAGAATTGTGAGACACACACTGTTGTGTCATGTGTCAGACCAGGACAGACACACTGTTGTGTCATGTGTCAGGCCAGACACACTGTTGTGCCATGCGTAAGTCAGGACAGACACACTGTTGTGTTATGTGTCAAGTCAAGACAGACACACTGTTGTGTCATGTGTCAAGTCAGGACAGACACACTGTGGTGTCATGTGTCAGGACAGACAAACTGTCGTGTCATGTGTCAGGACAGACACACTGTTGTGCCATGTGTTAAGTCAGGACAGACATACTGTTGTGTCATGTGTCAGGTCAGACACATTGTTGTGTCATGTGTCAGGACAGACACACAGTTGTGTCATGTGTCAGACCAGGACAGACACACTGTTGTGTCATGTGTAAGTCAGAACAGACACACTGTTGTGTCATGTGTAAGTCAGGACAGACACACTGTAGTGTCATGTGTCAGGCCAGCACAGAGCACCTTTCACCCACCTGTTTCTCCAGGTCCATGTTGCGACTGCGTAGTTTGGAGATCTCCTCGTTCCTCATCTCCACCACCGTCTTCAGACTCTCTATCTCTTTGGGCAGGCTGAGGAACGGGGCTAGAGCCATCTGTGGAGTCCGGGAACAGACGAGGTGAGAGGAAGGCTTCAGTTAAGTGTTAGTAATTAGAGTTTTACACTGCTATCAACACAATAAGGTCATTTAAGTACTGAAGATCAGAGGTGTTACTAGCCCTTTCCCCGGAAACTGTGTGTAACACACCCAGGGACCCTGTTTTGGTATCGGTATTTCTAACTACGTACAAGACAAAATGATAAGATTTTATGTAATCGTCAAAATAGTTGAAGTAAATGTGCTCAGCTCTCAAAATAATTGTTCAAGACAAACTTTATCACTTATGACCATGAAAATTTTTTTACCGCGTCCCTAGTAACCTGGGAGTAACACACCCGTACACTTTATATAGTGGAGAAAAATGTCTTTCTCACTAGGGTAACAACCTTACTTGCTTAAAAATGTATACCATTCATGGATTGAACATGAAGAATGGATTAAGAAATATATAAGAAATTATTGATTTTGGTAGCACTTAAAGGAAGTATTTCAGCAAGATTGGTATCTTATCATACTGGCGCACACACATACGAACATGGATATCTGATGGGGATCATAATACGTCGCATGTATGTACCACTAGTATCAATAAAGCGTCTTTAAAAGATAATTCAGGAAGTAGAATAATCAAATATTATAGTCATAGTCTGTTAACAAGGTAGTATAGTCCCAAGACTTAGACTAAACAGTTTTTGCAGGAAAGCACTGAATATTTCTTGTAATTAGTTTGCAGCTCATGCTGCACTTAGACGGTGTCCCGTGGTCTCTTTTGTTTGGAAGGGCAGAAAGAACCAGCTGGGTTTTTTTATGTCTGCCGTCTTTGTTGAATCATCCACAGTATCCAACATTTTCTTTTTGTATAGAGAAAGGCATCTTTTGGAATACCATTTTTTAGGCAGTTTCACGTTTTACTTCGGGATCGTGCCACAGGGAAAGGCTGAGAGTGAAGCGATAACAAAAACAACAACAACAATAAAAACAACAATACCACCACAAGCAGGAACAATTACAAAAACAACAATACCACCACCACTACCACCACCAACAAAAACAACAACAACAATACAACCACCACCACCCTCCAGCAACAATAAAAACAACAATACCACTACCACCAGCAGCAACAACAACAACAACAACAACAACAAAAACTCTGGTGTACTTGAACTTTGAACAACAACAACAACACCAACAACAATACGACCACAACCACCACAACCACCATCACTACCAACAACAGAAACAATAAAAACAACCCTGTTGTACCTGCACTTTGACGTCAGCATCCCTCTGCAACGCCTCCTCACTAGACCTGGCCCTATGACGTAGGTCGTCACACTCTCCTCTCAGAGACTCAACCTTCTCCTGTAACAGGCAAACATGGCGCTTGTGTGAGTGACAGACAGAGGCAGGAGAAGGAAGGGAGGAAGATGTGATTGAGGGAACGTAATAAAGTAAGTGAATTTAGTGTTTAAGGCTATTGGCCCATACCACATCCCATAAAACACTCAACGTAATAATTCATTGAAATAAAAAGGCTAAAGAAAGACAGAAGAAACAAGAATTGGGAGAACCTGTATGATCCATCATAGGAAAAAGGCAAAAGAAAGTAAAGAAAGTAAAGAAGGAATTAAGTAATTTAAAAAAATAATAGAGAGCATTTTCGTTGCGCAAATTCCGTCTATGCTCTTTACAATCTATATTATTACCCCAGTAGACCTAATCGCATTCTGGAACAATCTTAACTTCCTCCGAAGGATACAATGCAAGCTGCCATTTCTACATGCGCTTAACCACAAACACACTGACAATATCTATCGCTGTTTACGACCGGGTACCCATTCCCACCTGGGTGAAAGGAGGACAATTCGTGTAAAGTGCCTTTCCCAAGGACACAACATCGTGCCAGAGGCTCGAACCACCGAACCCGCAACCTCACGATTCCAAGTCCGGTAGTCTACCCGCTAGAGTATCCAAATCTTAATCTCACAATTGCGAGTCCCGTAGCCTAACCAAGGTAAGACAATCCCAAATATTAACTTCCAAAACCCATTTTCCCCCCTCAAAGCGAGTGAGTACTTACGGAGAGTGTGAGTTTGATGCTCTCAAACCGGTGGGTGATATCCTCGAGCTTGTTCCGGTGCTGTTTGTGAAGTTCTGGGGGGAGAGACGGATACACGTTTGAGTTTTGTTTGTTTTTGAAAGCGTTTTACGGTACTTGCAACACAATAAGGTCATATAGGTGCCCAAGATTAGAGGTGTTACAAGCGAGTAATAAACACAAAAAGAAGGAGTAGAGACCAGGACGATATATGTTTGATAGGAAAGAAGGAGCAAACCACACCGGAGCACCCGCCAACCACTCACACGTTTGAAGTAAAATCAAAGACAGAAAACATAACATTATGTGGAGTCAAACAGACAGACACACACACACACACACACACACACACACACAC